AAGCTCAGGAGGCAGGAAGGGATGAGAAGGACAAACGGAAACAAGAAACACAGAGAGCAAGTGGGAGAATGATGTTCCATTATGGAGATTGCAATTGATGTCACGAATCAAAACATGTACCAACGGTTGGATGGAAAGCCAATTTGCTCTTAAGTTTCATCCAAATCACATTAGAAAGTTAACAAATAAAAGATTATTGCCCCAAATACCTAAAGCCAACTGTTCCCAATCTCTGCTCCTCACAGGGTGCTGCTTCTGCTCCGGACACCCTGAACTATTGCTGACACCAAGGGTAGACAGACGCCTTCTCCACCTACATCCACAGTGCACTAGGAAAAGGCTGCCGTGCAGAGGCACGTTCAGCAAAGGCACGTGCTTACTGCAGCTGCTGGTGCATGGGCAGGGCGATCTGAGGTGGGACGTTGATGAGTCTCTCGCTCAGAAGGAGGCCCACGGGCCTGGCCGTGTCGTTGAGCAGCCTGTCCAGCTGTTCCACCACGCTCTTCTCAGCACTCCTCTCACAGCAGCTCAGAATCAACTCTTTAATTTGCTCGGCACACTGGGTCCCCTAGAAGGCAGAGAGAGACTGGCCTTTGGTACGAGCCCATCACCGACAGGTGAACACTGGGGAGGGACAGCTATTACTCTCCGCCTTACAGGCATGGGCCTTGGAATACTGTCTGCAGTGGGGAACGCTTAGGCATTCACTGAAGTAACACATCTGGTTGTGTGTCATCTCACCATCAGGGGAGTTATAATCAACAGGCAGACACACTGGGAATTGCGATTCTAATACATCTCATTAAGACAGATGGAAGGACTGGGAAATTCATTGGAATAAATGAAAGGAGAGCCTGCATCTCATTCTGAGGGGGGTAAGCAGCTGGTTAACCTTTTATGAGAACTCTTGTCACAGAAAGGAGATGAATCAAAATAAACGTCAGGCAGTGCCCTCAACCTTGGAAAGCAAGGAAGCCTCTCAGTGTCCATGCTTCACAGGTAGCAGGCACCAGTGAGAGACAGCACACAACCTGCTCCCATGGCACCACATCAGAACACAGTTCCCTACATCACAGGGAGTAAGTGATTGTGACTAGGTACATGATTCAAAAACAAACACACCTTCAGGGTGCAGACATTGCCCAAGAGCTCCCAGCCCTGGAACTCCTGTCACTGTATGACAGAAGGCACTTGCACCAGGAGTTAAAAGTGATCTAGGCCTAACGATGTGTCCAATGAACCAACCTTTCTCTCTGTTAAATTTAAGAGGCTTATGAAGCCAAAAATCTCATCTTCATCAACATCCACGTCATCACCACTGTCTTCTGACACATCTGTTTGCTATTTTGAACAGAGAGAAAACAAAATTAGAATCGGTGGGAAGAAGTGTACCACCACGTCTTGGAATCAGGGCCTCACCTATCTTTTCACACTTTTCAAAAGCTCATCTCTGTTTAACGGCCACCATCTAAGAAAAGCCCTCTGTGCTGAACATGTGTGATGCCCACAGCACATTCCCTCCTTTTCTGGGTGGCCGCGTCCTGCTCTAAGATCTCCACCTTACGTCTTGTGCAAGATTCTTGAGTTATCTTCCTTTCCCGGAGTCTTGATACATTTTAAATCCAGAACAGATAAAGGCTCATGAAAGCAACCATTTCCAGTGTTTTCTAAACCTCCTGCCTGGAGCCAGGCCTTGCTTGTCTCTGAGGGGCCCACACAGTTCCAGGTAAAATGCACACACTTCCTGAGCACCTTCCAGTCCTGACCAACAGTGAGACTGACGATGCTTGAGGACACTTACACCTGTCACCTGGGCAACGAGGGAAGAAAAAGGAGCGAGGAAATGAGTGAAGTGTCTACTCCAACTTCCACGTCACAAATATGCTGGTGACTCTGGTCAGTTTCAGAACTGTGGAGAACTGGGGGTCAAAGTCAGACTAACATTTGAGGAATGACCAGAAGAGGAGGGAAGATGTGCATTTGTTAAGAGTTTGGCTTCAAGACAAAGTCAAGTGGCTGACAGTGAGGAAACTAGAGTGGCACGCTGGACAGGCACAGAGCTGGTTCTGCTTTTCACTGCAGGCCAGGTATCGGGTGCGGAGAAGACAAGACACATCCCCAGAGGCAGCTGTGCACACACGCCACCTGCCATGTGCGGACGATGCTCTAAGCACCACGCTCAACAACGCACTCTGTGCTGCGACCACCCACCCGCTGAGGAGCACCCGGATCAGCCTCCTTTTCAGAGCAGGAGGAGAGATGCGGGTCACGTGGCAGGCTGTCTTTTCCACAGACGGCAGCACAGCATGTCCTCTCCCACTTCTCTTATAGAGAGGCCCTGATGAGCCTCCCACCGAGGACCGGGGCGCACCTGTCTTCCGTCGTCGGGCCTCCCACCAGGGGGCGGGTGTACACACACTCCCCTTGACCTCGTTCCCACTGAGGGTCCGCACTGATCCAGTGAGCAGCAAAAATGGCACCACTACAAACATGCTATGCACTTCCTCTGGGTTCTTTACCAACCTGCCTGCTGTGTGGGTGGGTCACCTGGAAGTGAATCCCCTCAGGGCCTCCCCTGCTGGGGGGGCAGGAAGCAGAGACAGCTGTCCCTGCTGAGTTCTGCCTCCGTGCAGACACAGGTGCACACGCATGACCAAGGCTGCTCTGAGGCACCACGTTGGTGAGGCAGCAGTAGCTAACCGAGGGTCACCAGAGGGTAAGGGACGGAGCCAGGCGTCCACCCTGCCCTACATTCTCAGGTTTTCCACACCTGACTTCCTCTCCCATCGCTCCTGGGACACCTCACTCTACTGATGATTCTCCCGCTGCCATCACTCCTATGAGCACAGCCCCCGCTGACTTTCCTCATCTGTCCATGCTGGTACGACCACAGCCTCTACCTCCTGCCCTCTTGGGGCCTCCTCAACCACTCCTAGGACTCTAATGACCAGACTGCTGAAAACCCCCAAGACCAGCTCCAGCCCCAGTCTCTCCAGGCTCCAGCTGCCGCTCAGTACCTCACTCGCCTGTATCACAAGCACCTACCTCAAACTCAGAATGTGCAAATCCTGCTCCTGGGTCTTCCTCCATCTCTGCATCCTGGTTGGCTAAGCCAGAACCTGGAAGCTCACCTGGGCGCCTTCTGCCCTCACTCACACCCAGTCGCTCCCTAAGCCCATCAGATCCCATCTCCAACACGTCTCCCGACTCAGCCCCCTCTTCTCCTCGCCGGCGCCCTGCTGGGACTGCTGTGCTTACCAGCCGTGGACGGCAGTGACTGCTCCCCTGGCCTCCCTGCCTCCGGTGGCAGCGCCACCTACAGCTGCACCCGTGCTGCTGGCCTGCTGGCTACAGGCGGGAGACAGCTCAGCACCGACCTGCTTACCTTGAGCACGCTCCCAACGTGGCTCTGCTGTATCAAGAGATCTGTCAGCTCTGCTGTGTTCACGGGAGCCTTCAGGAAAAGCTAAAAGGGGAAAAACCATTAAAAAAAAAAATTTCAAAGTATGATTTCCAATAAAACTTCTGATTCCTATTTTAAAATAAAAATTCTGAAATTTCAATGACATGACAAAGATGATGACCTAGAAAAGCAATCAAGAGGAAAGGAAAAACCCAGTAGAATCGCAGCAGCCATTGGTTCCAAACCTCGGACAGCGTGGACAGCGTACGTGGAGGGTACAGAGGTGGAGAGAGGGAGACGTGGACGTAATAAGCCCAAAGACTCTGAGACCAGGACCCAGGAGGCTCTGAAGGGTAGAGAACCAGCGCCACAGTATAAGGGGCGGGCAGACGCAGCAGTGTTGACTATGTAGCAGCAATGGTATCGTCAATTTCTCTAAGAATTCTTCTACCCCAGAAAACAGGGATGGGAAACTGCGAACCAGAATAGCAGCTCCAGCCCTGAGCAGAGAAAGGAGGGTACTTTAGGACACAGAAGACTTAATTGCATCAACAGACAAAAGGGCCTGGGGCAAAGGCACAGAGAGGGGGGAGCCTGGAAGAGAAGAGGTGCAGCTCTCCCTCCAAGGCCAGCGGTCAGATCTCTGCAACAGGGGGTGAGGGCTGAGAGCACTGTGCTGAGTGGCCCTGGGTTCTCATATGAGCAAACGCATCATCAAATTAAAACACGATACCTGCTGCAGTAATTTCTTAATTCCGTCATGATCGTTTTCGGAGATGGTGTGAGCTTCAAATTCGACAGTCACTTCCTGTAAGAGACCCAAACCAGTGGTCAGTCACAGTGGTCTGAGATGACTGCGACGTCAGGGTCCACTAGAGGGTCATCTGTCTCTCCCCCCGCCCCCGCACTTCCTCCTTTCTGGTACCTTCTCTACCTATCAGTTCATCTACACATGACAGAAAAGGGCAGGAAGAAACTAGGTAAACGGAAGAACCACAGATGTCTAGATTGTGAGACTGGCAAGCGTTACCAAAGCTGTCGCCTGCAGATGCTACCTCCAGGTTAGACCACCTTCCCACCATTTCCTCAGGGATTCCCTCAGACACTCAACCTGAGCTTATCCACACATGAGAAGGTCTGCTCAAACAGTCACAGCAGCCGGGAAGAAGATATGATCACTCACCAGACTTCAGGGAGGGGCCAAAGAACATCCCTTCACAGTCCCTGGAGTTGCCCAGAGCATGATGTAGCCTACGGTCTGAGGCTGTGAAAGTCAGAATCGACTGCGGGCAGTGGATTCTTTTTCCTCATGGGCCCATTCACTCAGCAGGCAGTCACCTAGTATTACCATATACCAAGCACTGTGCTGAGCACTCGAGATAAAGTGGTGAGTAAATTAATCCCCAGTGAGGCCTACTCTTAGGGAGCTTATGGTTTAGGCAGGAATACAGACACTAAGGAGATGGTCACGGAAATGAACATAAAGTTGCAGCGATCCCTGCTAAACCAGGGGATGAGGTCAGGGAAGACGTCCCTGAAGGGACTGAGAACAAGAGCTCCTGGCCCAGGGCAGCACTAAGGCAGCAGGAAACCGGGTGGGTACCAGGAGTAGAGAAAAGGGGTGTGTGGCTGGGCTCTCTGACTCAGCTCTGCCAAACACCACAACCTAAGAAAAAGTACCATGAAATACCCCATAAATAATGCAAGTGCTACTTCACGCTAACAACCAAACCTTAGATGCTTTCAAATGCTACACAAGACAGTCCTTAAAGGGCTCACAATCATCCATGAGCCCAATGCCTCCTAAACTACATTTCCTCCCTTCAAGTTGTCCAGGTTCTGGAACTTGGAGCTTAGCTAGAGGGGGTCACAGAGGAAAAAATCAGACCCACTTTGGTTGCCTTCCATCCTGACTCTGGATCTACGTAAACACTCCCTTGGCTGTTGGATATCAAGTCCAGCCTGCAGACCTCAACCCTGTCTCTGAAGTCAGTTCGTGCGACCAGCAAACCCAGGGGAAGGGGAGAGGTCCAAACAGGCTCACGTGAAAACAAGTAACAGAGTCACTGTTCAGGCCCTGAATTCATTCCTTGAAGTGAGTAAGTTCTTAAATGACGCTCTTCTTCTAGTGTGTTTTCCTTGCCTGCAGAGAACCTCTGACCAGACTGTACATCCCAGGCTCTTAGGGCGTCACCGCCGCAGTGGACACCACACAGACCATCTGCCCAGCACCTGTTTCCCCGCACAGGGGCTTCCCATTCATTTGCTTTCTGTGGGAGCACCCATATTTGCCAAACAACCCTGCCACTCACCCCCTGCAGCTCACTCCAAGGTGATTTAGAATTTAGAATTACGATGAAATCAATCGTCTGATTGCTCTCCTGAATGAAAATGCCAGACACGGTTTCCGCTTGTTGTTGGTACAAGAGACCCAAACACGCCGGGCCCTGTGCCACCCTCACAGCCGCTGCCACGCGCAAGCCCACCGTTGCAGCCGCTGCGTCAGTCCATCTCATCGCAGGCCTTCCCTTTCTCGCTGACCCTCTACTTTACCAAGCATACCCTTCTCCAGGGACTGGTCCCTCCTGATGCCATGTGCAAAGTATGAAAGTCTGGCCACCCTCACGTCTAAGGAGCCATGCTGCTTCCTTTTAATGAAAGTAGTATTAATGGGTCTTCCTTGCAGACCCAGGTTGCTGGTGGTGCAGTCGGTATGGCATCTGTTAACCAGAAGGTCAGTGGTTCAAATCCACTGATCTGAGGGAGGAAGACGAGGCAATCTACTTCCATAAAGATTTACAGCCTTGGAAACTCAATGGCGGGTCCCTATGAGTTGGAATCGACCCATGGCAGTGAGTTTGTTTTTTTGTGTAGCTCTATGGATATTATCCTATCACTGACAGCACTGTACTATTTTCTGCTATAATGAAATACACATGGAAAAGAAAACTAAATATTTTGATTTTAAATTTAGGAGACGAATAAAGCAAAATAGACAAATGAAAACAGAGAGAGCAAAAGAAAAGTAAAGCAGAGATGAGCCCTCTGGGGTTTTTGGCAGCTGTTCCTGGCCTGGGATCTGGGGATTCTGGGCCCAGTTGCCTTCCTGCCCTCAGGGTCTACCAGACACCCTGGAGTCCTTACCACAAGTTCCCTTTCCGCTGAAGCCCTCCAAGGGGTTCTAGGAAGCACACCCATGAGAAACACGAACCCTGATCACCTATGACCTTAACATGCCCACCCTTTCTCCGCATCTTTCACTGTCCCCACCTCTCTTCCGGCTGGGCCACTATGCCTTTAAATCAGTCCCTTTAAACACATCATCTTATCTCCAAAAAGACCTTACGCAGATGGATTTTCAAAGTAAACTTCGTGGATTTCCACCTGAAGGAGTGGGCTGTGGATTAGTGAGCTGCTTAGAAATGAGGCCTCCTCCCAACAAAGCGAGGAATCAAGCACCACAGTTTTAGAACCGGGAACTGGGCTAGAAGCTGGCAGTAAAGGCGACACACAGTGCCAAGGTCATAAAGCAGAAACAAAACCAAAACAAACCTCCCTGTTACCCGCCCGCCACTCTTCAGAGGTGCCTGCTGCTGGAGTAAACTGTTCTCTATACACACACACACACACACACACACGCACACGAACAAACATCTTTTGTTTCTCTTCCTCGTATGTCGATTGACCATGCATGCTCTTTTCACTTAACCAGCTGTATGAGCTCAGCTGTGAGATGGGGATGACAATGGCTAACCTCATAGGGTGGGCATGCATCACATGAGTTTACAGTGCAAGGAGCCTGGAAGAGCGATTGGCATTGTTGGACGGGAAGTTCTTACAAACAGAATTACCGAAGCAGGAAATGCGTCCGTGCTCAATGTGGACAGATACTGTCAATTATCCCCCAAACAGCCCACACCAATCTATATTCCCACCAATGGCACAAGTGTCTGTTTCCGTACATTCTCAAGGAGGATGGCAGTCCGCAAAGAGATTATCCGTGTTCACGCAAGAACAGTGATCTGAACGACCCCAAACTAGCAAATAGCCAGTCAAAGGTCTCTGAAGTGGAAAACAGTGAGACCATACTCGAGGCATGTCAATTGGCGTAACACAGTCCATAAAGACAGCGCTCTACATCCTAGTTGGGCGAGTAGCAACCAGGGTCTTAAAAGTTTCCCAGGGACAGGGAGACAGCCCAGGGGACAAGAGTGCATGGGAGGGAAGGTCACTGGGAAGAGGTAACTATGGGGAGCACGTGGGAGGGGAGCTGTTGCACTGTGGGAAACTGTGGTCAATGTCATGAGACAAAGTATGTGACCTGCTGTATGGAAAATTAATTTGTTCTGTAACTTTCACCCAAATCACAATAAAAATTAAAGGAAAAAAAGCTTGCAAGCAGCCATCTAAGATACAACTATTGGTCTCTTCCTGGCCAGAGCAAGGCAAAGTGAAGGAACTCAGACACAAGGAAACAGTAACTCGAAAGCACTAATGGACCACGCAAACCCGTTTCCATGACAATGGGACCAGAACTGCACGGCACCCCGGTACCACTACAGACTGCCCTGATCCGGACCACAGTTGAAGGTCCTGGCAGCGTCGGAGGAAAACGTAGAACAAAATTCAAATTCATAGGTAAAAACAAAAAACGCGGACTAACTGGTCTGATAAGACTGTAGGAACGTCTTCATACACCCTTCAACCCGGAACTGGACCCACCCGGGGGATCACCTTTCCCGTGAACCACAGGCCTGTACGTGAACAGTAACGCTCGCGAGGAACGTGCTCCTCGGAATAATCAACCATGTACCAGACCAAGAGGACAGCATCTGCCCAGAAACAGAGTTCAGAAGGCCGGCAGGAAGGACGAACGGAAACGCGAACCCAGGGGAAACGAAGAGTGCCGTTACACCGAAGGACGTAACCAACGTCCTGAAGCAAAATGTGTGTCAAGTGTTGAACGAGCACCTATGCGCCCTGTAAACTTTCACCCAAACCGTAATACAATGCTCAAAAATATTAAAAGAACACAGAATCAGTCATCCCCAGTTTCCGCCTGCAGACCCTCAGGGCCGGGGAAGCGGCGGCTCCAAGCAGCTCACGGCGTCCGCGTGGCTTTGACGGCCAGTTCCTTCCCCGGTATAACAAACTGCTGTAGCGCACACTGCTCACCTCGTCAACGACCTCGTCGTCTTCTTCGTCACTGTCGTCCTCCTCATCCTCGACTTCATCTTCGTCTTCTTCCTCGCCGTGTCGGAGCGCAGCGGCCTGAGGACGCGGCACCTCGCTCCCCAAGGCTCGCCTCTTGGACCCAGAAGCCATGTTGCCGGCCCCCGAACTGCGCCTGCGCAACGTCCCAGCCCCTGACCTTCCGGACCGAGCCACTCACGCCGGGGAGATAAGAGACCACAACCACCTCAAGGCTGAGCCGACGCCAGGCCCAATGCCTCGGCTTTATTACCCATCGGTAATTCTCCGAGTGAAGTCCTGTTCGGGGTACTATTGCGGACATATTCTCTCTTTTCTCTCTTCCCTCCCCTCCAAGGGGCGCCCCTTCGCATAGTGGTACAATCCGCCCAGCCTCCGCCCTTTCTCCCCCGAGATCTGGCTGTGGGCGCGCATGCGCCGGTTCCCAGCTGAGCTACGCGCGTTCTGGAACCTGGGGCTGGGCTGTTGGGCGCCAGAGTAGCGTAGGTACGTGGTGCGGGCCGCCCCCTGATGTCACTGCCCCTGGGGCCTCTGCCTGGGCCCGCGAAGTGCACGTCCCCGGACTCGGCGCCAGCGTGTGCCGAGCGCCGCGCAGCGCTCAGTCCCCTCTCAGTCCCCGCGGGCCTCGCCAGCCCCCAGGTAGGTATCGCTGTCAACTTTGCCGAGGAGGACAGGTGGCCCCGTAAGCTGAAGGACAGTGAGACGCGATCCTGAGGCCTTCGCCGTCTGGTCCGGCCCGCCTGGAAAGTCACCTGTCGTGGCAGGTTCCCATACTCCAGGTCACCCGACCCTGCCGGGCGGAGGCCTCTCTCCCAGCGCAGCTCTGGACACATGCTTGGCAGTGATGTAATGAATCGGGTTCGAACCTCCTGACCCTCTTTAAATGCATTTCTTTGATCTGAAGGTTTTCAGAAATGGCAGTGCCAACCTTACACGCTTTAGGACCCAGTGGGATAATCGAAAGGAGCCCCGGTGGCGCAACGGTTAAGGGCTCGGCTGCTAACCATAAGGTTGGCCTTGGAACCCTGCCCCCCCCCCACTGGCTTCAGGCAGAAAGACCTGGTGATCTGCTCCAGTAAAGATGACAGCCGTGGAGACCCTATGGGGCAGTTCTCTTCTGTTCTGTAGGGTCACTGTGAGTCAGAATCAACTGGATTGGAATGGGTGCTGGTAATCTAAATTAAGGAGAGTGGAGGGGACCTTGGCAAACTGGGGCGTGTATGTCCACCTCAAAGGAGCACCTGGTACAGTTGCACTCAGTTACCAAGACAAAGCGTTGCAGTGCAGCCAACTCCTGGTGTCACCTAGACCTGTGCTCCAGGGGGTTTTCAGTGACCTGGAAGTAGATCACCAGGTCTTTCTTCCTAAGTGCCTTTGGGTGGACTAAAACGGCTAGCCTTTCAGTTAGCAGCTGAGTGCATTAACCGTTGCACCGCCCAGGCATTCCTGTGGCCAGTTGCAGCCCTGTGGAAATGTGGGCCCAGTCTTGGATCTTTCATTTCAAGAGAAGCTGGGGCTCAACAGTATGTAATATAAATAGAACTGGTATGAATTAAAATGCATCCCCCAGTCCAAGTTAGCCTGTTTGGAAGATTATTGTTTGGAAAGAGAGTAATTGGTTGAGAAGGCCAGCTTTCTGATAAATGGTGTTCCATTATTTTTTACCTGTAAATGAGGGGAGTGGGTTAGATGCATGTGATTCTAAAAACAGAAGGAGCTGCTTCTGGGTGGAGAGGTTGCAGTCACAGAGGGTTCAAGCAGAAGTTGAATGGCCTTTTCTCATCATCAGCGTACCTTCAAGGTCCCTGTTAGCCCAGCAGTTCATCTCACCTGAGAGGCTCTTATCTGCCTGGCCACAACATGGACATTAATGTACGTACCCATCAGGGCTCTAGATCTAATTGGCTGGGTCCCCTAACTATGTATAAATGTCTCTTTCCATGAAGAGGGGATGTGGTTCCAGGCCAGCCTAGAAGAGTCGCACTGAGAATCCCTGGACTAGTGCCTAAGCACTTGACTGCTATCCAGAAGGCCAGTGGTTCAAACCCACCAGCCACTCCTCGGAAGAAAGGTTGGGCAATCTACTTCTGCAGTGATACCACCTCGGAAACCTAAGGAAGGGTCGCTATGAGTTGGATCCAACTCGACGGCAATGAGTTTGGTTTTGGGTTTGAAGAGAAGGGGAGACACCTGCCTTTGCCTTTGGAGTAGTTCCCAGGTCTGAGCACGTGGTCAGAGTGTGCGCTGTTGTTAGGTATCGCCAGTCAGCTCCAACTCAGAGCAACCCTTTGTACAACAGAACGAAACGCTGCCCACTCCTATGCCAGCCTCATAGTCCTTGCTATGCTTGAGCCCAGCGTTGCAGCCACTGTGTCAATCCTTCTCGTTGAGCGTCTTCCCCTATTTTGCTGACCCTTCACTTTACCAAGCATGATATCCTTCTCCAAGGTCTGGTCCCTTCTGGTAACATGACCAAAGTAGGTGAGACAAAGTTTGGCCATTCTCACTTCCAAGGAGCATTCCGGCTGTACTTCTTCCAGAACAGGTTTGTTCATTCTTCTGGCAGTCCATGGTACTTTCAGAGTGTGCACTGGAGTAGCAAAAATGTGGCGAAATGGCCCATGTGTGGTTTTCTTTCTTAAGTAAACACAGTACTGACCCCAAGGAACTTCCCTCAGTTGGGCATTGCTTATCTGTCCGCTCAGCCTTTGTCTTTAGCTCAGAGCAGCAGAGAGATGGTTGGGAGAGTAAGCCTGGGCTGCAGACCTGGGTTCAAATCCCAGGTCTGCTACTTACTGGGCTGTGTGACCTTTGACAAGTTACTCAAACCTCTCAGAGCCTTCGTTTCCTCTTCTGTAAAATAAGGATAATGATACCCACCTTGCAGGTTTAAGTGAGGATTGTCATGTGGCTTGTGAAATGCCTGGCCCAGTGACCAGCAGAGAGTGCGTGCTGGTAAAATGGTGGCTGTTGTCACTGTTGATAGCCGAATGGACCAGGTTAGAAAGTATGCCCTCAAGGCCAGACTCTCCTACCAGTGAAGTGTCCTTGAATCAGTTCCCTGTTGCTTCATAGGACAGGCGGTCATTTCCTCTGGTTCAGAGATTCTGGAGCAGTTGAAAGTGGTGTTTCCCACAGTGTGAACGGGTATTTTCTGAGCCTCTCCTTTTGGGGAAAGTGTTCCTCTGAAGCACCAGTGATCCAGTATCCCCAGCCCATTTCACAGCTGCAGAATTGAGACCAAGGAAAGAGAAGCGCAGGCTGGAAGCCAGGCCCTGGAGCTGCAGGCCAGCATCTTTCCACTCTGTCCAGCTGACATGGCTCCGGTGGTGGTGGAGGCGAGGGTACTGCCTGGAACACCAGCAGGGTCGACACCTTGGCATATCTGTAAACCCATTCCTGGTACACAGGTGGGGTGGGCACTGTGTGGAGAAAGGGTATTTTCAAATACGGGACATCCAGAAGGCATCTTGGTTTCCCTCCCTCAACCCCGTCCATCTCATGACCCAGGTACCTGCATTTCCAGTTGTCCAGGTGATAAACCTGGGGAGCATTCTGTTGGCTCCACCTTCAAAATCTATGTCCATTGCTCCTCCCTCTTCAGCATCGTCCCTTACACAGCCAACCTCCTGTCTCTACCTCTTTCTGCCTTTGATCTGTTCTCCAAACAGCTGTCAAGTAGTCCAATTACAAGAACCATCAGAGCCCTCAGCCCCTGCCCCCAATCCCGTGGCATCACTTCTCGTCTGGAATAAGCCACCAAGCCCTCTCCTGGCCTGTGAGGCTGGTACCCAGCTCCCTCTCCAGCCTCTTCCATCTTGGTGTTCCTCTGCAATCCAGCCCCACTGGCCAGCCACCAGGCTGTTTCTCACACTTGCCAGACACCATCTTGGTGTCTGTGTGTCCCCTTGGATCTGCCTCCACACTTCTTGGATGGGATGCAGGGTCCCCTCGTCTCTGGTCTGTGAGCTCTCTAACCCATCATGCTGTGTGAGCAGATGCTGGGAGCACATAGAGCTGTGAGGAGTCGGGATGCCATCGTCTGTTGTCCAAATCGAGACCCTTTTGAGAGTGAAAGGGTGTGTGGGTATAAATCAAGGCTGTCCTGAGGAAACTGGGGTGTGTGGTCACCCCCCCATAAGGACAAAACGTGTGATAGCAGCCCCAGGATAGAGGGGGGCTGTGGTGAGATCTCCCCCAGAGTTATGTTGAGACCCAGCATAGAGGCAAATCAATGAAGAAAAGTAATGAAGATTTTAAAAGGAGCTTTGGTGACATAGTGGCTATAGTGCTCAGCTCCAAACTGAAAGGTTGGTGGTTTGAACCCACCAGCTGCTCCATGGGAGAAAGCTGTGGCAGTCTGCTTCCATAAAGATGACAGCCTTGGACACTCTGTAGGGCAATTCTATTTTGCTGCACGGGGTTGCTATGAATTGGCCTCAACTCAGCAGCAGTGGATTTTAATTCAGATGCAACCCTGGAGCCACACTTCCTAATTGAATAAACACGTAATGCTAGTAAGTACTGACTCCAGTGGAGGATTATCCCCGGCCGGGAAAGGCCACATTGCTGCTGCTTGGCTAAGGTCTTCAGATGGAGTCCCTGAGTGAGCTACGGGAGAGCAGACCCCGGGCCTGGGCTCTTGGTGCACCCTGCCCGGGACTTTCTGTGTGAGCTTGGGGGACCTCAGCCTCGGTTTCCCAAACGAAAGGAGAATTGGCTGTGCCAAGACGTACACAGATAAGTGCTTTTTCTTAGGAGTTGCTGGTCCCGTGGACACAGTTCCAGAACTCAGTTCCCTTCCAGGATTGTGCGTGTACAAGCATGCTGGTATTCTACTTTTTGGGTGGACAATGTTTTTCTCTGTAGCTCTAAGATCTGAGACTATATGAGTAAGAAGTAGCAGTGAAGGGGCTTATTTCTCTTAAAGGTTGCCCGCTGCTTTGGAAGGTGGCAGGAAGGTGGGTTTCTTGGGTGATGAAACTTACCTGGCACTGAGCTCCAGTCCTGCCTTTGGTCTGTGTGAAGTTGCAGTAGTACCACCACCTGCCTATCAGCCCCAATGAGCTCTGATAGTGCAGTGGCTAAAGCGTTTGGCTGCCAACCCAAAGGTCAGCGGTTCAGACCCATCAGCCACTCCACAAGGGACAGATGAAGCAGCCTGTTTCTGTAAAAATTGACAGCCTGGAGGAGACCCTACTCTGTCCTTTAGGGTCCCTATGAGTTGGGATTGACTCGGGGCTGGTGGGTTTGGGTGGGTTTACCTGCCAGCCCCTAGTGGTGCAGTGAAGGGCTTAGCCGCTAACTGAAAGGCTGACAGTTCGAAGCCACCCAGAGACTCCATGAAAGGGTAGACCCAATGATCTGCTTCCTTACAGATCACAGCCAAGAAAATCCTATGGGCAGTTCTCTGTCCAACAAGTCACTGTGAGTCGGAACCAGCTCAGTGGCACCTGACAGCTTACCAGCATCCATGACTGGGAAGAAAGCCGTAGAGAGAGAAGACAGGCGTTACAGGCGGGGCACTTGTTCGCCACCCATAGGGCAGTGGCTGGTACTGTCCACATGCATCAGAATTGCATAGGCCTTGGCTGAGCCTCAGCCAGCCTCTCCCCTGGCCGTTATGTCCTTTGCTAAGAGCAGTGGCCAGTGTCTGTCCTGAGCTTGGCATGCAGGACCATGTCCCCCGTTTCCCTGAGGAGGTGTCTTTGGACCTTTGGACTGGCTGCAGCCCTGGCCTGAACGTGCCCAATAGTTCAGTCAATCGTGGAAGAAAGATTTCTGAAAACATGGCAGAGCTTACGATTTAAATCACTAAGGAGCAAGTGCCATGTGCTGGGTTTCTTCTCGGAGAACCTGGGAGGAAGGGCTGTAGGGCCGCAAAGCACCATCAGTGGGGCCCTCTGATGTCCCGTTAGGGATGCTTCAAGCAGTGGCAGAGAAGGGAGAGGATGATCCTTTGATTTTCATTTGTCAAGCTCCAGAGCACATCTCATGGAGTCACTGAACAGTTATTATCCTGCAACCTAAGTGTCCCATTAGCATCGGCTTTGTGACCTGAGAGAGCCACAGACGAGAGCCTAGGAGAAGCGGCTGAGCTGTCGGCAGTGGGCGGCTGGACGACACCCCCACGTTGGCGTTTGCGATACTTTGTGTCTTCATGCCTCTGTTTTCCTAACACGTTCGGATGCCAGGTACACGAGAGGCAGCGCAGCCAGGAGCGAAGAACACAGACTTGGGGCCAGATGGCCCGGGGTGTGGGTCCCAGCTCTGCCACGTGTCACTTCGGAAACTCCGAGTGAGGGTTATCTTCTGCATGCCTCAGTTTCCCCATCCATGAAATGGGGTGAACTCAGATCTAATGTGTATAAAGCTCCTAGAACAGCACCTGACCAGTAGGGGCCGAGTCAGTATTACTGTCTCCTTTGGGTCACTCAGCAGTCCTACCACTGGGTCGGAACACGGATGATCGCTTGAACTGGAACCATAGTGGGGACATGGCAGGGGCCCAGGACTTTCTCCTGCCAACAGCATCACGCGTCAGCTTTTAAATCCCCAAGCTCTGCCCATAACTGCCGGGAGGAATGATGCGTTCGTAGAAAAGGCCAAGTCTTAGCTGGGCCTGGGTGGCAGACGCCGTTCCTGGAACGACCACATGAGATGTGGAATCAAGGTTCAACCAGAGAAACAGAACCAGTGGAGGACTCAGGACAGGCGATTTGTTGCCAGGAGTCGCCTTACAGGATTGTGGGCTGGTGGGTCCAGTCTGAAATCCGAGAGGGGCCGGGGGAGGGGCTGGAGCTCTGTGTGGTCAGGGAAGGAGGTAAATAAGAAATCCTAGCCGACCACCCAGAAGTGATCACTGTTAATATTTTGGTGCATTTCCTTTCATGTGTATGTAAATAAAAAACCTGTAAGAGTTTATGCAATTTATATTTATTTTTAGTATTTATATAATTCTGAATTCTGCTTTTTTTCACTTAACATTAATTTTTGATCATTTTCCCATGTCACTAAATTGTTTTATGAGGATTTTAATGTTTTCTTAATGGTACTATGATTCATTTGACCATTCTGTCATCGCTAGACAGTTTACACTGTTTTCAGTAGTTTGCAATTATAAATAATGCGAAGATGAACATTTTTATACTAAAGATTTACAAGTATTACCTTGATATTCATCCTTAGAAGTTGAAGTAGGGGGACGAAGGCTTGAACCTTCCTTTGTATTTGATGCATATTGAGAAGTTGTTTTCTAGATTGTTAGAAGATTCTTTGAAAGATCATCTCATGGTATCTGACAACACTTATCAAACATCCTGAGAAGTAGAAGTTGTTTTTGTTGTTGTTGTGTGCTGTCGAGTCGGCCCCGACTCATAGCGACCCCTCCTTGGGTTGCCGAGGCGGTATCACTACGGAAGTAGATTGCCCAACCTTCCTTCCGAGGAGTAGCTGGTGGGTTTGAACCACCAGCCTTCTGGTTAGCAGTTAAGTGCCTAGGCACTATGCTACCAGAGCCCCTGAGAAGTAGAAGAGTCAATATAATTCTTTTTCTTCAACTTTTTATTGTGATTTGGGTGCAAACTTACAAAGCAAATTCATTTTTCCATCCGACGGTTGGTACACATTTTATTTCATGGCCTTGCTCTCTTCCACTCCCTTTCCGTGCTTGCCTGTTTTCCCTGGGTCCTTCTTTCCTTCGAACCCCTGCCTTCTGAGCCCTTCTGATCTCCCACGGTTGAGTGCACCTCCTTGGTGTAATCGTTCACCTGTAGGCCACGGGAGTGAGTTCAATTCTAGGCCCGAGGGTGACTAGGGGCCATAGTCTCAGAGATTTTACCAGTCTCTGTCAGACCAGTAAGCCTGGCCTTTTTTTTTTTTTTTACAATTTTGAGTTTTGTTCCACATTTTTCTCTCACTCTATCCAGAATCTCCCACTTTGATCCCTTTATGAGTGGTTGTCTGTGGTAGCAGGGCATTATCTAGTTCTTCGGGTCTCAGGGTCCTGTTGGCTGAGGTTCCCATGGACCGTGAGTCCCTTCGTCTAATTGTTTCCGTGTGTCTTTGATTTTCTTTACTCTTCTTTGCTCTGGGCAAGGAGAGACCAAGAGTTGCCTCTTAGATGGCTGCTTGTGGGCTTTTAAGAACTCCCCATTGCTACTCAACAAAATAGGATGTAGAGCAATGTTCTTGTGTAGTACGTTATGCTATTTGAGCTTGATGTCCCCCATGGTGGTCCCAAGCCTCCAGGCCCAGCGACTTCTCAAAGTGTTTGGCTGTGGCTGAGGAGTTAGCGTAACTTTGCCCCGTTTGCGCTATGATGTATATGGTCATTTTTATAACACATACAAATACGTATGTAGAAATAGCACCTGGCAAACCTGCATGTGCTCATGGGTCTCGTTTGCCCACCCACAGCAGGTCAGCTTTCCTACCTGTGTGTATTGGTGTTGTTTGTTTATGATAATCCGGTGTGTTGTGTGTGTCACGTATTCTCCTTGGTTGTCTGCACCTCTTGTGCACCTCCCTTAGTGTATTTGTCTGGAGATGGAAACCAGCACCTCTCTTTTTCCTGAGTATTACTGTGCTGGTCACCTGCGTTTGGTACGTTGCCTTTCCCTTCACTGAAATCAGTATGCATCTTTTACCTATGGAGCAGTTTTCCCTCCCCTTCCTGGTAAACAACAAAGAAAGTTGCCTTCCCTGTGTACACCTTCCCTTGTCTTTTTACAATAGTTGGTTTTGGGTGGTACTGCTGGACTGAGAGGATGTCGTTGTTTTGATCTGCATCTCCCGAATGGCTAACGATTGTGAGCATTTGTTCATGTGGTGGCCGCCTGAGCATCTTCTTTGGTGAAGTGTCTGTTCATGTTCTCTGCCCATTTTTTAATTGGATTGTTTACCTTTTTGATGTTGAGGTGTTCAAGTTTTCTACAAATTTTAGAGATAAGTCTCTTGTCTGCTATGTTGTTGCCAAGTATTTTTTCCCCACTCTGTAGGTTCTCTTTTTACTCTTTTGGAGAAGTCTTTTCATGTACTTAAGAACTTAATTTTTAGAAGGTCCCAGTCATCTAGTGTATCTTCTACTGTTTGTGAATTCTGGGTTATGCTTGATAGTATATTTATGCCATGTGTTAGGGCCCCTAAGTTTGTCCCTGTTTTTTCTTTGATGGACTTTACAGTGTTAGGTTTTACATTGATGTAATTATTTTTAAAGGATTTATGTGCCCCTTCTCGGAAGGAAGATGGGGCAATCTACTTCCGTAGTGATACTGCCTCGGAAACCCAAGGAGGGGTCGCTATGAGTCGGGGCCGACTCGACGGCACATAGCAACAACAACAACATGTGCCCCTTAGTCTATTTATCTTGAAATGGAAACCATCATTCATTTAGTGCCGTCAACATAAGCCACCCGCTTCTCCACCTGCTACTAGACAACCAGAGCTTGTGTTCTGTCCCTTTTCAGAGCCGTGAATGCTTGGTGTCCGACCTGGTCTGTAACGTGGGCTTTGTCTGCCTTCCCAAGTGATATCACCTCCGGACATGCCTGCCCTGAGCCTTATCAGTGGCAGGGCCCTGAAGGAACAAGCTCATTAATGCAAAGTCACTGCCAGCAGTTGGTTACCCCTCCACGCTCCCTGAGCATTGCTGTCCCCAGGCACTGACTGCTTGGGGTCTAATGAAGACCCACTCCTTCCTCTGTCGCAGCACTGGGGAGGACTGCCGGGAGGTGATGAAGGTTCTTTTACTGAAAGACCCTAAAGAGGATGACGGTGGCCAGGACCCATATATCAGGGTAAGTGACATGTGACTCGGAGTGCCAGGAAGCATGAGCTTAGCTGCCTGCCTTTTCCTTACCGTGACATCAGGAGGGATGTCACAGAATAAGCGTCCCTGTAATGCCATGATCCTTTCCTGACTTCGTAGTAGTCGTGGCCAGCCTGGGAACTTGAATTTCTTTCATTTGCAGGAATTGGGGTTCCGTGGACTTGAAGCCACTTTGATTCCTGTTTTGTCCTTCAAGTTTTTGTCTCTCAGCAGCTTCTCTGAGAAGGTGAGACCTACCAGTGTATGGTGTGTGGTTTGCATAGAGTCTTTGGCAGCCCAAGCTGGGCTTTGTAACCCTCTCATCTCACCACCAGCTTTATAACAGGGAAAGCTCACCTGACCCACCTCCAGGAGACAGTTGCTACTAAGGTTCTTAAGGGACCTCTGTGTCTATTCCAAAAAGACCCCCCAACCCTGACTGAGAGAGGCAGGGTAAGGAGGCCCAGGAGAGAGCTGCCCCCCCTGCACTGCTCCCAGCAGCTCCCCAACCTGTTCACAGTCATCCTCTCACTTGCTCTACCCTCAACCCCCAAACTCTGCAAAGCAGCCCGGACAGGTGTGATTCTTCCCTTTGTAGAGAGGAGGTCATGGAGACCCAGGCTGGCAACTTGGCCAGGACCTTGAGCAAGTAAGAGGCAGGTTTGGGACTCGAACTTAGGACTTCTCACCACCACTTCAGTTGCACTGCCAGGTGTAGGGTGACAGCCATTGGAGGATCCTTGCCCCTGTAGGTGATGGAGGGTCCTGGTAAGCCCGCAGGGCTCGTGCAGCCTGTAGCGGTGCCTCCCAGTCATTGCCTCCAGGGCGTCTCCCTGCAGCTCCTTTCTAGATAAGGTGGCCAAGAGTCCTGGGGTGGTCTCCTGGAGTGGGAGTACCCCACCCTGCTCATTGGGCCCCACAGCCTCAGCAAGCACCAGGGGTTCACCCTGGCCTCTGCACACCAAAACTCTGTGCATACACTTTTGAAAGCCTTTTGGTTTGGACTGAATATTGCACTGTTCACTCAATTTTTGCTCCACGACATTGAGTGGGCATCTACTACGCGCCTCTGCCGAGGCACCGGGTCTGCAGCTTCAGGAACTGTGTTGGGCCCGTGTCGGTATCGGATCTTCCTCCATAAGCAGCTTAAAGGGGAAACAAAAGCTCACAGTTTGGGGTGATTTCTAGGTCCTAGAGGTCATCCATCATGGAGTGTCCCCAGAAGCCTCCTCTCCCCTCGTCCTCTGCTGGTGTGCCGCGGGGGGCGGGGGGGCCCTGCTAAACACACTACAGAAAGCTCATAGCAGGTAGGGGGCAAGCACGGGCTGAGACCTCAGAGGCACAGGTTTCACTCTTCCTGTCACTTGTCGTGGACCAGTCCCTTCCTGTCTCTGAGCCCCTGCTTTTTAATATGTGAATGGAACAGTGTGGCCACATCCCAGGGTCACTTCCCAGTGAAGTGATGTGTCTGCAGCAGCCCAGCATCTGGCTGAAAATAAATATTCAGGAAATTATGTCCCATTACCTTTGAAAACCAGGGCTTCAGAGCAGATACCACCCTGTGCATATTCCAGTTTTATTACAAGTGCAGGTTGAGTCTCCCCTGCTGTCTACACCCCACCCCAACTCCAGGCTGCGTTAGGCTTGTCACCCTGTATTGCACCTGTCTGTTTCTCCAACAGACTATGAGCTCCTTCAGGGAAAGGCTGATGTCTAGTTAATTCACCTGCATTTCCTAAAAGGCCTATAATAGTTCCAGGTGCATAGTAAGCATGCAATAAATGTTGGATAGGTGGATGGATGGATGGGGGGGTGAATGGATGGTGGATGAGTGGATGGATGGATGAGGGATGGTGGGTGGATGGATGGATTGGTGGGTGGGTGGATAGATGATGGGTAGATGGATTGGTGGGGGCATGGATGGATGGTGGATGAGTGGATGGATGGATGAGGGATGGGTAGATAGATGATGGGGGGATGGATTGGTGGCATGGATGGATGGGTAGATGGATGATGGATGGGGGGATGGATGGTGGGTAGATGGGTGATGGGTGGATGGATGGTAGGAGGGTGGGTAGGTAGATGAGTGGGTAAATGAGTAGGTGGTTGGATGGATGGATGGATGGAATTAGCTTGTCTACTTCTGGTAAGCATTTGCTTGCTTCTTTTTGAATTTAGCCATCACATGAAATACCTTTATTGCTTTCTTGGTGTGTAGCTGTCTCATCCTGAAGCTTACGGGGGACTCATTTTCACCAGCCCCCGAGCAGTGGAAGCAGTGGAGTTGTGTTTGGAGAAGGACAATAAAACTGAAGGTGAGAATGGGTCTGCTGTGAATTAGATTGGGCTTTTATTTACTCTTTCCTCTGCCCCTGGGGACAGGAGACACAGCTGCCTCCTTAACTCCCAGTCAGATGTCTCTCACCCAGTCTTACATGTTCACCTGCTGGGCATTCACACTTCCCCTCAGAATAGATCAGGCACCAGTGTTGTATGAAAACAGGGTAAGTGCCAAATTTTTCAAAGGGATGAGGAGAAATCCATCTATCCATGAGACCCGGTCAGTGCTGGGGCCTGTCTTTATGACATGGTTATCTCTGACCTTCTTCCTGCCTCCCTCCTTCTGTTCAGACAGTGGGAACATGGCATACCCATTCATAGAACCCAGGACTGCACACTGGACAGCAGCTTTCTTGTTGTTGTTGTTATGTGCCTTTGAGTCGGACCTGACTCATAGCGACCCCTCCTTGGGTTTCCGAGGCGGTAGCACTACGGAAGTAGACTGCCCAACCTTCCTTCCGAGGAATGGCTGGTGGGTTTGAACCGCCAGACTTCTGGTTAGCAGTCAAGTGCCTTAGCTTTCTTAGTCTGTCTGAATGACCAGCTGTGTAGCTAGAGTTCATTGGGTACCTATTCTATTCCAACTCAATGGCACCTGGTGGTGAGGAGGTAGATATTTAATTAAGCTCTCATAGCTTAAAATATTACCTTCTCAGTGATTTCATATAAAGACATACCTTGTTTTATTGTGCTTCATTTAATGCACTTTGCAGACACTGTGTATTTTGCAAGTTGAAGGTTAGTGGCAACCCCGCGTCGAGCAAGTCTGTTGGCGCCATTTTCCCAACAGTATGTGCTCACTTCATGTCTTTGTGTCACATTTTGGTCATTCTTACAATATTTCAAAGTTTTTCATCATGCTTAACAGACTACAGTGTAGTATGTAAACGTAAAAATACACACTAGGAAACTAGAGAATTCATGTGACTCATTTATTGTGCCATTCATTTTATTGCACCATTTGCTTTATTGCGGTGGTTGCAACTTAACCCATAGTATCTCCAAGGGCCGCCTGTGCACATTGACCTCTCAATGAAGAAAAAGGTTGATTCTTTTCAGAGGGTGAAGGTCCACCCCGTGGGATCAGAGTGGCAACATAGGACCAGCCGTGGTGATTTCCATGTGTCACATTTCACAGGCGTTCTGTCGCGCAGGTGCTTTGGGATGCTCTGTCTTATCAATTATTGTTTCCCTTTATTTGTGGTTTGAGGATGATGATGGTGAGAAAGAGGAGACCCCAGAATGTGCAGCATGACTTTGTACGAGTGCTTTACAGTTTATGAAGCACTGTCCCACATAGCTTCTTCTGTGGATTCTGACAACAGCTGTATGAAGTAGGCAGGTGCTCAAATAATTTCTTCTAGAGGGATCAGCACAAGGCTGGTCCCTATGAGGCAGGGCTACAGACGTCCCAAATGTCCAGCTTTTCCAAACTGCCATGCCCCTCCTTCATTTGTGACATCAGCTCCTCCTCCTTTCTCAGTACTCCCTCCCATCTTAGGGCTCTGGAGTTCACTGTAACATCTCACAGAACTCACAGACCACCAAGGAGACAGCTCACGTGGTGGTGGAGGCTGGGAGGCTGGCAAGTCCCACATCCGTGGATAGGTCTGGAGGGTTCTTCTCACGCTCGTGGTTGCAGGGGCTGGCGAAGCCAAACTGGTGGGTCTCATGCGGCTGTTGTCTCAGGTCCAGGGGTAGATGATGGCGAACCAAATGCAGTACCAGAGCAAGAGAGAACTTTCCGAGTATGTTGACATACATACCCTCAAGGAAACTAAGGGTGGGGACCTGGGTCACACCCTCTAGCAAGGTGGGACTCAAGATACATCCCACCCAAAACAGGCATAGAGACTAGGACTTACAGCACATCACCAAATGGAGAACAGTGTCTAGAAGGGTCATTGTCAGCAGGTCATTGCACTGCAGCCGGCCAGGCAAGGTGAGCCAGTTCCTGATGACAGAGCCGATGAGGTGGGTTAGCTGAGTTGCCCCAGAGCCCACCATGAGCTCAGGGGAAGAGCTGGCTCTGAAGCCACATTGGATTCCAGTCTAGGCCCCTCACCCATTGTTCTGCGCTAAGGCTGGGGAATAGTGTGTTCATGTGCTGTGGATCATTTTAAAATAAATACTATTTATACTTGTTGGAAAAGAAGGGAAAACTCCACCTTTGGTCAAAAGGGGAGAGTGACTCTGTTGACTTTAAAGTTACGCTCATCATCAGATTTTAGGAAAGAGGAACTGTTGTTCCCTTGTCTTCTATAAAGTATTGAACATCTAGGGGCCTTTTGATATGTTTTTACAATCCATTTTCTCTTTGTATTTCTCTAATGCATTCATTAAGTTATATCTGGTTGTAATCAAAAGATGGCAGCATTCTGCAATGAAACTGTTAAGAGTCTGAACCTGAAATTATCTCTGCTTGGACTAAGGGTCAGTGAAATCTATCATCTGACATTAGAGTTTGTGGACTTTGAGATTGATTTCCCAAATAAAGCCAATCATATTGTATTAGATGTTAATTTGCTTTTTTTTGTTTTTTTTTCGTCATTATTTTACGTTTGGTTATTGATAGTTTACCTGCTCCCATGTTTCCTAGGATAAACAAGCAACCTTGGGCAGCATCCAGATGGTGACTTTGGTATTTGAACTCATGTACATATGATTCCCTGTTTTGCAGCCTGGAAAAAGTCTTTGAAAGAAAAGTGGAATGCTAAGCCAGTGTACGTGGTTGGAAATGCTACCGCTTCTCTCGGTAAGCAGTTAAAGTTTCAATAAAATGCTGAGAAAGGATTTCCTCTTTGTTTGAAAGAAAAAAGGCACACTTTAATTCCATTTAAAAATACGATATTTGGGCTTATTAAGTTTGTAACAAATTATTAATTAAATATGTAATACAATTAGTAATTCAATATGTAATTACTTGTAAGGGTGCAGTGAGACAAATACATGCAAGTATTGTTAAATGGCACAGAAATGGCTCTAAAACTGGATCAGCACTTGCTTAGTATACCTTCCAAAGTTTTGTTAAAGTGTTCGTACTCTTTGGCCCCCTAAATCCCTTTTCTGATTATCTATCCAAAGATCATAATCCCAGATAGGAGAAATGAATTGACTTTTATATGATAAAATATGTCACAACATTACTTATAATCATGAAAAATGAATACGAAAAACCAAACCTGTTGACGTTGCGTCGATTCCAACTCACAGCGACCCTGTAGGTCAGAGAACCGCCCCATACCATTTCCTTATTTTTCCGTTTTGAAAGGTTTAGTTTTTAATTTATGACTTTCAGAATGATAGGAATAACTTACCAGTATACAGAAACACTCTGTTTTCTCTAATGATAACATAAAATATAGAACTTGGGAAATGGGACTACTTTTCTTCTTCTTCTTTTTTTTTTAATTGTGCTTTGGGTGCAAATTTATAAAGCAGATTTGTTTTGCTTTCAACAGCTTATGCACATTTGATTTCAGCCCATAAGGTTTCCAAGGCTGTAAATCTTTACAGAAGCAGACTGCCTCATCTTCCTCCTGCAGAGCAGCTGGTGGGTTCCAACTGTTGGCATTTTGGGTAGCAGCCAAAAGCTTAACCACTGAGCTACCAGGGCTCCTAGGAAAACTGAAAGCCCCTCCAAAATGTCTAGTAAAAGGGGCCCTGAGTTTCCTGTGCCCCATCTGGTGACCTCAGGGCTGAATTGTTCAAGAGGAGAAGGGAAAGGACTGTGGTCTCTTAAAATGATTTTGAAGAATTTTCTAACAAAAGAAAATATAATGTAACTAATATTAAAGGGGAAAAAGATATGTATAGAGATCGATCTGTGGAAGGGGATCTGGTGGCATGGTGGTTAAGGCATTTGGCTGCTAACCAGAAGGCTGGAGGTTTAAACCCACCAGCTGCTCTCTCTGTAGGAGGAAGATGAGGGAATCTACTTCTGTAAAGATCTACAGCCTTGGAAGAAACCCAGTGGGGGTTGATAAGAATTGGAATTGACTCAGTGGTAGTGGAATTTTTTTTTTAGATCTTTGGTACAATTTCAATGCCATTAAAACACATAGATAGCCTCCTTCCCCCAAAAATGAGAATCACCACATATTAAAGCTGTAATCTCCTGGTGGCGAAATATTTTTTAAATGTTCTTACTATTTTCTGTGGTTTTTCCAGAGAGTCTTTAATTTACATATTATTTTTAAAGCACAAAATGCAAATTGCGAATCACTAAAAATTAACCATAAAACATTGTGAATACTTGAAATAATGCTGAGCCATCACGAATCAATCCATGGGTGACGTTGTTTCAAAACTTTAATTTGTCCAAATGAGTTTAAAAGTACTGGGGGAAGGTACAGTGTGAGTGAAAATAGTTTAATTAGAAGTATGTTTTTCAGAGAATAAAGTCGGGTTGCAGAAGAAACCAGCTGGGAGTTGCTAGCTAATTACCAGGGGACACCTAACAATTCTGTACAGTGGGCTGGCTTCCTCCAAGCTCCCACAGTAGTGGTTTGGTTGCCATGGGAACCTCCTCCACTCCCCCTCATCCCTTCAAAAACTAAGTGAAGAATTTGCTTCTTTCTTGTGCCTTTTCTATTTTCTAAACGGAAAGAGGAAGTAAATACTGCAGGCAGTTTCTGATTTACGTACCAAACGTTTGTTGAATATACAGCGTGTCTGTGAGTCTTCTTTTTGGCTCGTGTGCCCCACATCCAGCCCTTCGTGCATCAGCTGATGAGCAGACCCTGCACCGTCACACATTTGGTTGGATCGGCACCATCACCGTGCATTCTGCTCTCACTGTTCTATAAAATGAGAAGGCAGCCAGGAACAGGAAGGGGAACACAGTGATGAGCGATCCGAGACATGCAGCAGTTGGCCTGCACCTGCCCCATTTGGTCACTTGGGAGGGAGCAGGCGTGTGCTTACTGCTGGAAGCTTACCCTCAGTCGGGGGATGAGATTCCCTGACCATCAAGGACTTTGTATATTTTTTTTATTTTTCATTGGTAACTTAAATTCTCTTTTATTTAGTCTTGGTTTTGTTTTGTTTTGTTTTCATTTTTAACCACATCCTAGCCCAGCATGAAATTCCACTGCCCCCTCTAGTTTGCCTTCTCAGAGCTGGCGTGCAGAAGGAGGGGCTCTCTTAGTGGGCCCAGGGAAAAGGCACTGCGTGAATTCTCGGAGGTTTCTGTCCACCCTGAGTTTCAGCAGCTCGGAGGAGACCAGGCCCAGTGTATCAGCAGCCCTTGCTGCATAACAACTCCCCGGACCTAGACAACAGAAAGTTATCACCTCATGGTTTCTGTTGGGAATCTGCGGATGGCTTCATGCTCTCGGTCCTTTCCTGGCTGCAGTCATTGGGGCGGGGGGTCTGTTCCCAGCGTCACTCAGTGGTGGTGGCAGGATTCAGAGGGTCCCCTTCTCAGCCCCCGTACATAGGTTCTCAGCAGCGTTGTCCCCGACATGGTGGCTGCCTTCCTCAGTAGCGAGACAAATCAGGAGAGCCAGAGAGAGCACCCAAGACAACCATAGTCCTTCTGTGACCGATTCTTGGGCGTGGTATCCCGTCACTTCTGCCATGTTGTTTGGACTGTGTCAACAAGTCCAGACCACACTCAAGGGGAGGGGTCGCCTGGGGTGAACACCAGGGACCCCGGGGGCCTGTTGCAGAGGCTGCCACAGCACTCAGGAGCCCTGTGGTCAGGCTGCAGCCATGAGCGGCCCCTGACTCCCCAGAACTAGGTCAGAACATGGATGTTTGAAGCACAGTAAGAAGAAGGTAGAAGGCAGAAGCCCAGGAAACCGGCTCCACTGGGGCCCTCACCGTCTGAACCCCTCAGATGTGAAAAGTGCTGTCTGTCAGGTTTGTCTAGCATCAGCTTGGTGTATTTAACTGTTTGGATCACTGGACGCTTCATTGTGGGCCTTTACATGGGGAAGGCCCTTTAGACAGGCTTGCATTGGCCTGAGTGCCGTGTCAAGTGCGTGGGCTGGACTTGGAGTAGAGCCAGTCTTGGCCTTCCCCTCAGGAAGAGACCCCCAAACCAAACACTTACTGAGAGCCTTCTGTGGGCATGCAGACCCAAGTCTCCGCCCTGCTCCGCACCCGACTGGTCCACTGTAAACTACAGGAATAATCCATCTGCCTCCCCACAGCACGTGGTTGGGGTCCAGTGAGCAGGGGCTGAGTGGACAGGAATTCCTGGTGGCTGAGGAGAGTGCCTTCTGGAGTGGCCCTGCTGTCTGAGCAAAGTGTCTCAGCAGTGCCCTGACCCCGTTCAGCTCCTGGGCGTTTCCCACATTCCCTGGAGTGTGAAAGCCTCCTCACTTGGACCAGGGAGGCCCAGCCTGGGCTGGCTTTGGGGCCAGGGCTGACTTTGGGGCCGGAGTCAGGGCATTTTCCTCACACAGGTGAAGCTGCATGTGGCTCTCCCCTTTGACTTAGTAATTTCAGGGGCCCATGAATTAGAGCTGGCTGTGTCTATACTGAGGGTAGGTGTGTTCTCAGGCAGCCTCCTTTATGAACCTGAATAGAAGGCCCAGAGTCCCTCTCCTCAGAGGAGCTCTGCGTTCCTGAGAGAAGATGGTGGCAAGTGTTGCCTGAGGAGCCAGCTCTTCCCTGTCCATGGCGTCTGCAGTGCCACCAGGCATCGGCCCTTGAGAAGGTGCAGGAGCTGGGGTCCTCTGGTCCTTGCCCAGCTCATGAAGGGGTGTTTCACCAAAGTGTGGGTCCGTGTTGGCATGTCACCCTGCTGTCTCCCCACCACCCTCTTCAGTCTGATCATGTCAGCCCATGATGCCTTTCTGGATGGGGTCTTGCGTCCCTGACAAAGTGATGGCCTTCTCAGGCGGACCCTGGAGGAGGGTGTAGACGTGTGGAGCTGGCGTGCTCACCTCCTCCCTTGACTGACAGGCCAGAGCTCAGGGAAGGGTGAGGCGGGACCTAATGCCTCGATCTCCCCATTCTCCCCTTCAGGAGAGGACTCTGTATGACTTGTGAAGGCATGCCTGTATGTATGCATGTTATAAACAACATGTGTGCAAAAGTACTTCCCTGACCAGAAAGAAATGTATTTCTTTATTGTTTTCCAGTGAGGAAAATTGGCCTGGATTCAGAGGGCAAAAACTCTGGCAGTGCAGAAAAGCTTGCGGAATGTATCTGTTCCAGTAAGTAGAGAAGGTCACCCCGTGGAGCCCACGTGGCTTCGTGGAGTGTTTCCCTGCCATCTGCTCCGTGATCGGTACTGATCCATGTGCGGTCTGTGACCATAGCCTGCTGGGATCTGTGGAGGTCTGGTGGCGCTACGGTTAAAGCATTGGACTGCTAAACAGAAGGTCAGCAGTTCGAACCCTCCACCTGCTTCACAGGAAAAAGATGAGACAGTCTGCTTCCTGAAAGATTTACAGCCATGAAAGCCCCATGGGGCAGTTCTGCTCTGTCCCATCGGGTGGCTAAGGATCACAGTCGACTGGTGGAAAGACGGTTAGCGCCTTAATTGAATTGGTGGCTCCAGCCTGGGCTTGCCGTTGATGTGTTTGTTCTGAAGGGGGTGGGAAGGAACAGTGGGCCGTTCCTCGTTACCAGGCCCGGAGCCATCAAGCTGCCATTCCTTCTCTGCAAACACAGGGCCAGAGGGATCAGTGGTGCATTTGAGTGACTCGACTCTGGCTTGGTGGGTAGGTGTCCATGGGCCTGCCCTTCTGTTGGAGGAAATGACCAGCCTTCCTACATTCCTCGCTGAGCCTTTGTGACTTCCTCTAATTTATTACAGCAAGTCTTCAGGTCCTAAGGAGTCCAAACACAGCTCCATGTTGAGTGGTAATCAGGCCCTTCCCCTTGGTCTTACCGTGGCATTGATGGTTTGGTCCCTCAGTCAGCTTTGAAACTCAATGTTAAAAGTGAAGAAGCCGTTTCTGATGCTGGAGTGCGCAGCTCGAGTCATAGTTATAGCTCATTTATTTTACTTAACGAACACGTATTCAGAGCTGTGTGAGGGCACTCTTCTGATAACTCATTTATCGGATGAGTCATCCTTCTTCACAATTCTCTGCCCTCCCAGGGAGCCCCTTAAAGGCCATGTAAGGAAGAGTTAAGTGGTCAAAGGTGGGGGACAAGTGGAGGATTTCAAAGAGAGAGAGGGACAGAGGCAGACAGACGGTCCTGCAGCGTAGTGAAATGCCCTGCTGGCCTGGGAGCTGGGTGGCTGAGGCCGTCCTAGGTTCCCCTAGCCTCCCCACAGGCCTGGTCCTTCCTGTGGTCCCAGTCAGCGGCGTTACCTGGTCGTCTGCAGTTGGTGCCTGCTGTCCGGGTTCGGGCCTCTCCTAGCAGCACACCTGGCCATCCTCACGGCTCTGCTGACAGGACGTGTCCCCTGATGATGTTGGACAAAACCAGTCTCATTGTCTTAATGACCCACAATGACTGTGGGTCCCCCACCCAGCTGCATATAATCCCCTGTGCCAGTGTTAGATCACCCAGTGACCAGAGTAAGCATAGGCTCACCAGTGTTTACTGACATCTGTAAGGAACAGTTCCACCTGAGTACCCAGGGAGCAAGGTAAGCCCGGGCTCGCCTATGCTTACTGACTTATCAGTTACGAACAGTTTGATCTGAGTACGCAGGGAACAAGGTAGGCATGGGCTCACCTGAGCTTATGGCTGGTCTGTAAGGAACAGTTCCACCTGAGTCCCCAGGCAGCAATGGGTTCCAGTGCTGACCAGGCCCGATCGCCTCTCAGCTGTAGCTCAGGTGACTGCTGCCCAGCGCCGGCGGGGCTGAGGGAGTGCGGCTGCAGTGGGGCAGGCCTGAGCGTGCGGTGCCGTTCTCTGGCTGGCCTGGCAGCGGTTCCTGCTTCCCAGATGCGGACGTTGAGACCCGGGCACCCTGAGCTGCTCCATCCCCCGGAAGCTGCCCCTCCCCGTGCCCCTGCGCACACACCTCTGCCCGTGCTCTGTACTCAGTCTGGTCCTTTGCTCACAGGGGAGTCACCGGCGCTGCCGCTCCTGTTTCCCTGTGGAACCCTCAAAGGCGAGATCCTGCCGAACATGCTCAAGGACCAAGGTGACGGGCTACATTGGCTCCTGGGTGCTGCCTGAGGCTCTGCCAGGGGCCTTCTTGGGTAGGGAAGTGGTCAGCTGGCAGGGTGCGCACAGGCAGGCCTGGGGTGTGGGCTCTGCCTCCCCCACTGGCGGTCTGCTCTCTGCAGCCCATCTGGCTCTGGCCAGAGCAGATAGCAGGGTGATGAACCGAGCGTTCGGTCCTCCGGGCTTATGCACATCCCCACATGCAGAAGAAAGTGTGAGGATGGTGGCATGCAGTCAGTTCAGCCACTCCCACTCCCTCCGGCCCACTTCTCACGGCCCTCGGACGGTCTCCCCAGAAACCAGCCGGGGCCTCCGGAGCACTGTAAACCCATCCACTCATTTCCTGGGGCTGCTGTATAACAAACACAAACTGGAGGCTTCAGACAACAGGATGTATCCTCTCATGGTTCTAGAGTCAGGAGTCTAAAGTCAGGGTGTCAGCAGGGCCCTGTCCTCTGAGGGGCTCTCAGGGAGGACCCTTCCTTGCTTCTCCTGGCTTCTGGTATTGCCAGCAGTCCTTGGCTTGTGGCTGCATCACTCCCAGCTCAGCCTCCCATCTGCACATGGCTTTCTTCCCTCCTCTCAGGATTGCACTGGGACCCACTCTGTTCCAGTGTGACCTCGTGTGAATGATTTCCATCTGCAGTGACCCACATTTCCACAGTCATTCAGGGCTGATGAACCGAGTATTCGGTCCTCTGGGCTTGTGCACGTTCCCTACTGCACTCACACCTTTTCCTGTCATAGTTGGTCTGAGAGCAAGGGGTGACTTGTGGTTGGGAGTATGAACTTGAGAATGGCACAGAGGTGAACCTGAACTCTCCCTGTGCCAAAGAGCTGTGTGGAGGAGGGCAAGTGCATCAGGCTCCTGTCTGTAAAATGGGCGTAGAGTTCCTGTGAAGCCGTGCAGCAGGACGCCCAGCGCTCAGAAGGACAGTTTCTGGGGTGGTCACTGCAGTTCTTGAGGTTCTCCCCAGTTCTTCCAGCCCCTCATAATCCACATGAAGAGCCTCAGCCAGGAAGCTCTTTGCCAGCTTCACCGTATTATAAATGGAGCCAGGCCAGCATCGTCGCCTCATCTCCTAAATGCTGCCAGGAACAGGGGCGGGGAGGTTAGGTAAGATCTAGCCTGACAGCCAGGAGAAAAGAGGAGTGAAGGCATGGTTCCAGTGTCCTGAGAGCAGCCCTCTAATCAGAGGCTGGGCACTTGCCTTGTCTCTTGGTTTTGGGTGCGAAATGGTGACAGGCTGGAACCACCTCGCTGCTTCCCAGTGGTTTGCTTTACTGTCCCATTTCAGTGGCTTAGGCCTGAGGTCTCCCTCCTAAAGCAGCCCCACTGACTGAGTGGCTGCACTGTTAGTCACTTCAGCACCCCTCCCTTAGCAGCAGCCTGAAGCCTGCTGGAGATGGTCAGGGTCACTGAGTAGAATAGGAAGGAATGGGAGAGGGCCCAGAACCTGATCCCTGTATACAGACGGGGACCCTGAGGCCGACGGGGGTGGCTGATCTAGGAGCACTGGAGAGGGAGAGGCAGAGGCACTGGCGCCTGGCAGGGAGAGGCAGAGCTGGGACGAACTGGGGCCCCTGATGCAGGCCAGCATGCCCCTTTCCAGCCCCGGGCCTCTCCCAGCTGTGCTTTGGCCTTGGGCGTGTAAACCTCCCTCAGGTCTGCACAGACAGGAGCCATGCTGTCGTGGCTCAGGGCCCGCCTGTGTGGACACACTGCACCCACACACAGGAACGAGGTCCAAGGGCATGACGGGACCACAGGTCGGGGCCCTCTGCCTTCATCCACCACCTCCGCCTTCTCTTGGGCTGGCGGGCTGCACTGGGATATCTCCGCCAGCCGTGCTCCGAGGGGGGTGTGTGCCTGTTGTGTTCCAGGCAGTAACGTCTGTCTCTGATCCGATTGTGCCCAGGGGTCCCCATGGAAAGCTTACCCGTCTATCAGAAGATCCCACACCCAGGAATCCACGGGGACCTGAGGAGTTACTTCTCCAAGCAGGTGAGTGGTGCTCCTGGGGCACCCCATGGGCTGGGCACCCCAGGGAGGCAGCACAAGCCACACAGACGGGGTCTCAGTGTGGCTGCTCAGTGCCAGCTGTGTGGCTTTGAGGACATGGCCTTTCCAGGGCTCCCTGTCTGTGCCTGAATGGGAATGTCCTGTCTGGTAAGGCTGTCAGACACTATAGCAGGCCCTTTGCCTGGTGGCTAAAGCATAGCCGGTAACACGTGAGCTTGCTGTGTTGCCATGGTTCTTCGTGCGATGATGAGGCCTTGGGGGGGCTGCAGGGGCCGAGGCTGGCGAGGGAGGGTAGGCACACCGGGGAGGGGCCGTGCGGGACCTTCGGAGGCTTTGCGCAGGTGAATGAATGGCTCTTGCTGGAGTTAATTGATGTCTCCAGCAGGTATGTTCAGCCCCTTCCTCCCCAGAACTGGCTTTGAGTGGCTCGTCTGCCCTGGGAGGTCTTGTTGAAGGCAGAGATGCAGGAAGGCCGTCGGCCAGCCCATCTGCTCTGTTTCTGGAAGGGGTTGAAAGTTGACAGGAAGCCAGACGTGACTGCATCAGCTGGCTGTGGGAGCTGGAGCCCTTGTCTAGTCTGCGGGGTGCATGGCCTTCCATTACAGTGTCTTCTAGCCTGGAGGCTGGCACGGTGATCCAGCAGCAGCACCCTGCCTCCTACTTTGAGCCGGACCTTTCCAGAATCCTGCCTGTCTGAGCAGAGCAGTACTCTGATTATAACACCCCCGGGCTGGCTGCTGGGAACCGGCCCCTCTGTGGCCCTGCCTGACCCGTGTAGGAGGCTGACTGGGATGGAGATGAAGGATCGTGTTCTCTCCCCAGCCTCGTGGCAAGAGATGTGTCCTCTTTTCACTCCAGGGCGTCCCAGCCAGCATCACATTTTTCAGTCCCTCAGGCCTGACGTACAGCCTGCAGCATATCCAGGAGTTATCTGGTGACAGCATCAAGCATATCAAGGTGAGACACCCGGTGATCTTGTTGGTTTCACATACATTCTTCTTTTTTGAAATCTTTATTAATTGTCCTAGAGTTTCCATGTAAAATCAAAGTCCCTGACCTAGCAGACGCCCTGATGGCAGTTTGTAGAACTGAAAGGTGTCAGGCTCTCAGATTTGTGAGGCTGTATTTAAAGGCCAACAGTGCCGCTTCCTGGCTGGTGCTCTTGGACAAGTTATTAAACCTCCCTGGGTCTGTTTCCTCATTTGTGACATGGAGATGAGTATCTCTTTGAGGCCTTTACAGACGGTATGTGGTTTTTTTCCTTTGCTGCTGGAGTTTTCCATGTCCTACCTCAGAAACCACTGCCAGACCCCAAGTCATGAAGATCATGCCTATTTTCTTCAAAGAATGTTACAGTTTTAGGTCTTACATTTGGGCCTTTGCTCCCTTTTGAGGTAACTTGTGTGTATGGTGTGAGGTAGGGAACCAACTTTGCTCTTTTCTCACTGAGTTTCTTGAGGAATGGCAGAGTGGCAGTATGGGGGAAACTATGGGAGCTTGGGCCCAGTTGTCTTCTGACTCAGCCCAGAAGAAGGCGCGTCAGGCCCCCGGCATCCCAAGGTTGTGCACAGGGGTGTACACCTCTGCCCCTAGCTTGCTTGACTCCCACACCCACATTCTAGGGAGGGAGAGTGCAGAGGCTGCCGGGTGAGGGCTTCTGTCTCCAGGATGCCCACCTTCCTTACCTTCACAGCCCTACTCCAAGCAGGTGCTCTGTCCACAGTTTTCATCCTGAACAGGGAGAAGGAGGAGTACCTTCCCTCTGCCAGAGCTGCTTAGCTCTCCCATACCCACCATGAGTCCTGCCAGTCCAGGAGAATCCTGCCCTTAGCTCTCCAGTACCCCCTATGGACCCTGCCAGCCCAGGGGGATCCTGCCCCTTTCACAAGTGAGGAAACTGAGACTCAGATAGGTTCAGTGACTTGTAACAGCAGCTAGTAAGTGACAGAGTCAGGACAAGAAGTCACATTCAGTCTAAGGTGGGGTCCTGCCTTGTGACCATGAAACAGGTGGTTTTTGGTTGGAGTGTGGTATCTGGGAATGACGTTCATGCTGCCGGGCCTTCGAACCTAGAGTAGTGAGTGGACCAGTGGTGGCAACCATGGTGTCCGCTGAGCTGCATGTGCGCCAGGCGGTTTACACGTCACTGCATTTCAGTCTCCCAGTCAGCCTTCCTGTGTTACGTGTCAGGCCGTGGGAACTTACAGGGGGTGGGTGACTTGCCAGGACTACTGTCCTGTGAGTGCTGGGGCCTGTGCCCCAGAGCCCTGGTCCGGCTGCTCTGCTTTCCCATCTCCACCCCGTGACACCCAGAGCCCCTTTCAGACTCTCCTGGGCTCCACCTGGCCTGGAACACAAAGCAGAACTGACTGCAGCTAACGTTTGCCAAGATGGCGGGGCATAGTTCCAGCCCCATCTCATCCCTCCCCTTCAAGGTGCAGGCTCCTCACCTGAGCTGTGCTCTCTCTCAGGATGGTAAACCCAAAGCCAAACTAGTGGCCGCCCAGTTGGCTCCAGCTCAGAGTGACCCTGTGCGTGTCCAAGTAGAACCGTTGCTCCGCAGGGTTGTCCAAGCTGTGAACTGCCAGAAGGAGGTTGTTACCTTCGGGGGAGTTCAAACCACCGATGGATTGGTTATCAGTTGAGTGCTCAGGCACGCCAGGTGTCTGGGAAACTCATAAGGCCTGGTTTGGGGTCAGTAGTGGTGTGGTTTTCTACGCACGGGTCATGTGGGGCCTGAGTGATGTCCCAGTGGGAAGGCTCAGTGACGAGCCACGCTCCCTCTTACCCTCCTGCTGCCCGTGCCCTGCCAGTGCACTGAGGCCTCTGCTCTCTCCTCTCCCTGCAGTTTGTGGCCATCGGCCCCAACACAGCACGGGCAATGGCTGCTCAGGGCCTGCCCTTGAGCTGCACTGCAGAGAGCCCCACACCAGAAGCCCTGGCCAGAGGCATCTGGAAGGTGCTCCAGCCCCATGCCTGCTGCTGATTGGCCACCCTGATGACTAGGCCCTCTGGCCTTCCTGGGACAGCTGTGCCTGCTGCCTCAAGATGATAGAGTGAGGCGTCGGGCAGGGGCTCTCAGGAAGCCGGTGTCTAACGTTTGCTTGGAGCCTGAATGGAACCGCCTGGGGACCAGGGCTAGGGCAGCACCTGGAGCAGGCACAATGACCCAAGTTTGCTGTGTGTGGAGCAGTTTCAGTCATCCCGTAAGCCCGACCTTGAAGTTCCTGCTGTGTGAGTTGTGACAATTGTAATTCAAAATTGTTCATTTTTCCTCAAAAATATACACGTGTTGACAGGTGGACCATCGATGTTTTGGGCGTGTGGGAGCCAGTGGGTATTTTCGTGAGAGCCTTCAAGTGTGGTGCCTGCAGCAAGGCTTTGCAGAACCTTCGCCTGACGTGACATCCCATTTTTAAATCTTGCCCGAAACACAAGCTGGTGAAACCTCTGTCTGCATGTTGATACCATGGGAGCCGGGCGGGAGGGAGCACTGGCTTTCCCCACATCTCGATCTTGGTGTGGTGGAAGGCCAGCGCCGGGATCATGTGACAGGGCCCCTCCTCTGGGCACAGCTCTGCACAGCGTATACGCAGCCAGCCAGCCTCGTGCCAGCCCTGTGGAAGGGACAGCAGCACCATTCCCATCTTTTTTGGGACAAAATGGAGGCTTAAGAGGTTGGGGTCACACAGCCAGTGAGAGATGGGCCTGGACTGGTGAACTCAGCCGCCT